ATGTAGGTGCATTTGCTATGTATTATTAAAGTTGTTGCTGACGTGGGCCTCTATGGTGTGCTATGCATAAGGCAGATTTCTACAAGGGTTCATCCCTAGACTTGCGAGAACTTACAACCTGAGACCCCAGTCAGAGACTTCTTGGAATTCAGTGAAACTACTCTTATGTCTAAGATGAAGCTTATGTATAAGTTACTGGAGGATCAATCCTAAATTGATGAATGCAAAGGAAGTAGATGCAGAACAGAATTCTGGAGAGTCTTTTTTTTTTCCACATTTATACAGCTTTAAAATCTTGCATATTTTCATTTCATGGGATATATATCAACATTGGGTCAAATGAGAGGCTTAAATGTTGTTTAATGAGATGATACTAGTTAAACTGCCACACACAGGCAGTTTTAGATCTCTCCAGGAAAACTCTGCTTCCTGAGCAAGAAATTCTTTCACGCACCAGAAAAGCAAACGCTGACACCAATTAGGTAAGGAATAATCATAATTAACAATATACTACTGCTATGCTCTACTTTATATATAAAGTACAGAGGTTGCACTATATTAATTCAACTAATATTTTTTAAATAGTAAAAGTGTGATAGCAGGTTACCTGTGCTCACAAATTATTATTCACAGAAACTGAAGGCTGGGCTCTGCACGCTACAGCTCAACTCAGTGTGAAAGAACATGAGACACAAAAACAGTGGCTTTGCTTTTAACTAAAGATATTTCTTCCTGGTCATCTAGTCACATTATTTTCTATCCTGAATTCCTATGGTGAGCACGGGACCAACGATGCCCAAGAGAACAGACACAGAACAAGCTGATACTGTGCAATGGTTCTGCCAATAAAGCCCATGTTTTGGCTGTAACAAAATCACAGTTCATCCAACGTTTTTCTTGAACAGAGACAACTCTGTCCACTTTTCTAGTATTATATGTGTGCATGTGTGAATGAGGGACTAAAAGATGACTTTTACGGAAAACACTTGCTTTACTTAGGAAAGTGCAACCATAGTTGCATAGTGTCTCCAAAAATGAACAGCTATCATAATAAGGTCCAGATGGGGGGACAAGGAGCAGGGCAGACTGAACAGCCACCTACCACACGGAGGTTTTTTTTTCCCAGTGGATTGTAGACCCTACAGATTCCAGAGGCAATGGAAATCTGTCATGCCAAAAACACCCCTTCCCTGAGGGACGCATTTATGTACCTTGTGTGTTTTCTGGCCCAGTGCCATTCTTCCATAAGTTTTACAAATAATGATGCAATAAGGATTTTGGCTGCTTCAAAAGCTATGTATGCCATGTGAGCATACAGAGCTCAAATCAGTTCCCTGTCTCTGGTCTCCACAAAGTCACATCCAAACCAAGTGAGGACTAAACTGGAACACCTCTTCCAACCCTTCAAGGCTCTGGGATGATGCTTTAACATTATATAGGCACTGAACCACAGTCCAATCTACATTATATACGCAATCACCCAGGACACCTGAGCATCACTTAAGTTTCCTTTTGTGGTTTCATGCATAAAGTAACCGGACTGTAATTCTTCTTAGTAACAGAACTAGAAAAGCAATTTACACAGAAAACATTTTTAAATAATAGCAACCTGGAGAAAAAATAATCAAAACAAAGAAGCATAGGCCCATACTTTTTCTGACA